TTTTTACCTTCTAAACTCTCCAGAAATGATATATCTGTAGAACCATCAGAACCAGATTTTTTTTGGAAGTTGTTTCCTTGACTTGAACCTGTTGAGAGAAAAACGATTGGCTTCTTTGTAACAGTGAAAATATGATGTGTTTGAATCTTATATTATGGTGATTAAAGATTGTATAATAATGGAAGATTTGCATTGGGTAGCTTCGATATGTGATATTCCATTGTTTGTATGCTTCAATAGATAAAAGTCATTTGAACTTAATTCAGTGTTGAGAAAAAAGTAATATTTAGTACCTAATGTGTATCTCCCGAAAATATTTGGTCCCATGCCTCACGGCCATTTTCATAAGTGTAAATGGCTTATAGATTTGAAAGATAATACAATTTTTTCTGTTCTTTTACTATTACCTTTAGAAGAGAGTCTTTCTTTTCATTATTGCTAGTTGGTTTTACGTTGGCACATTTTTTAGGAGATGAACTTGTACTTTGTTTTGTTTTTGAGCCTGTTAAAAGAAAGAAACGATAGTGTGGTTTCTAATAGTCCTAACAGTAGTTTTTTCTGTAGATATTAGTGTGGCTTGCCATATGAAATTAATCCACATGTAGCTTCAATGATATGAGACTGAATACATCTAGTAATACCACGTCAGTATAATTAGAACATAAATTTCTGAATGATAGATCCAGATTGACTGTTTAGCAATTGTCAATTGTTTTTGTCCCATGATGCTCATTATTTCCATTGTTTCCCATGTGTATTATCGATGAGTCTTAAGAATTTTATGATTATTTTGAGAGGAAATTAAAAGACATGAACATTATGAAGGTCATTTGTTATTAATTGCTCCCTGGGCGCTTATACATCAGCAATAGACATGCTTGTGTGAAGAGATAGTAATAATAAAGAATAAAGTGTAATATTTGCCAAAGACTTTTACTGAAATAGGTAAAATATCAAATATCTGTTGGTTTTTGTCAGGGTGCTTTTTAATATTATCAAATTGTATTGTTACTGATATTGGTAAATCTGTATTTACATGTTTTTGAGAACTAGCCTTGTTTTCTTTTTCCCAATGAAATTCTATGATTGTGCCCATTGCTCCATTTGTAAGGCCTTGTAATACAGTAACAGAGTTGTTCGGTTGAGCGAGCCAAGTTCGAGCCCGACGGTCAATTAAGTACGAGTCAAGAGTAGCAGCATTAAGGGAGAATCGTGATTGACACGTACGTCGGCGCGGGGTTTTCCCACGCCAAGTAGGCATGCGTCCCCAGCGGGTAAAGCCCGGTTAAACTCGATTCGCCCCTTTACTGCTGCTGTGTTTGCGAGATCTATGATATATATATGCACGAATGTAAAGAGTTTGTAAGTGGATTTTGTATAAAGTGCTTGAAACCCAAGTTTGTACCTAGTAAACCAAATACGTATATTTGTTGTGGCAAAAAAATGCAAATAGAAGATGACACGTCAGCACAGTGTTACGAGTGTGGTAAGAACATTCGCAATGCCGTACCTTGTGCTACCAGGGAACAATATTACTCTAACGGAGGTCGTAAGAAGACCCCATACAAGAGAATAAAATACTTTAGAGACTGGATGAGTCACGTCCAAGGTCTTCGGCCGGTATATTTAGACATCGAAGTAATGGAAGCGCTTAAGTTAGCAGAACCAACCCCGCAAAGCTTAAGAAAGACATTGAAAAAATTAAAGCTAGGGAAATATTACAAAGGTATTCCCTATCTTTTGTCTGAAATTACCGGCGACTCTATTCCCGAGGTTTCTGATATGACAAGGGCCGAGTGGATGTTTTGTCGGCTGGATAAGGATATTCCTTATTACCCTGACGTAATCTACGAAATATTCCATGAAATTGACCCCAACCACCCCCTGTTAGGATGGATTCCAAGAAGATAGTGGATCTTATGGCATGATTTATGCTTGACGCGTATTATGACAGCATGAATCTTATGGCATAAGACGATGCTATAATTTATGCTTGAC